ATATATATATATATGTATAAATTTAAGTAGTTATGGTGAAAATCTATCGGTGAAACCGTTGCTGAGACCGGGAAGAACGGTCGTATTTGTCAGGTAGACAAGGTGAATAACGCGAGAACAGGTGCTTTGTTGTGTGATTGGTTGTACACACGAATGAGGCCCAGGCTCATTCCTTGATTTTAGAAAGAAAGGTGGGCATCCATGCTATGGCGGGCATGGCGTGATTCAGACGAGGAGAGAACGTAAGGACCCAGTAGAGACGGTTCGTTTCGGTTTGTTTGCCGCTTGGTTTCAGATCCACAGCTTATGCTGTGCACCAAACTTGGAAGGATGCTTTCCCATATAAATCTCCACCCCCGGCTGGATAGAACTTTCACTTTGACAATAAGTGATTACTTCTCAAATATATTTGTTTCCCCACTTTACAGCAATCCTGACTACTGGGCTAGAAATCTACGCGAAGACGACTATGAGTTGTTGTGCGCGGACGGTCGGCGTGCTAATATCGACCAGTGGGCAACCTGCAACCTGGCCCGAATTCCCAGCAGCGTGGTCGTGACGGCTAGTTACAAGTCGGAAAACGAGCGAACCAATATGTGGCGTCTGCTTCAGTATGGACAGGAGTACTACTCAGCAGACAAGTGAGCTCATACTATTTATGGTTTCCTCCTTGTTTAATTACAACCCAGTAGTAATCGGAGAAGGTGAGTGCAGCTCATGCGTTTACAAAAAATCGATGATGGTCTGACTCTACATAAAAAGGATTCCTGCGCGTGTAATTTACTGCGTTCCAACATATGACAAACCGTGTGAGTACCAGTATTTCAATCCGAAACAACCACGTCATTTATGGATTGACCAGGATAAACGTTCTCATCAGTGGCGCGTTCGGAGTGCTGAAGTCACATGAATATGATGATGCATCACCGAAAAAGATGCGCAAACTGTCAACCGGTCATTCAGTACAGCCATCCGTTGGTTGTTTTTATTGGTCTGTTCGCTAAATTCAGTCGATAAATTTCTACCATCATCGGTACGAGAACACCGGCACTTGACTGCCGAGATACATACACTTTTGAACTCCTGCTCAGGCGCCTGACATAGAAACTGGCAGCATGTACGCTACTGATACTGGTTGTTGGTCAAATCCCACACGAAACATTACCTCCTCCACTAGACCTGTCTCCACCAGGTCAATGGTTCAAGGACATCTAGCTGCTTTTGGGCGCACAAGGTCAATTAAACGCGTCTCAAGAAGACAGCGCCAGCAAACAATCCGAAAGACTGAATTGCTTTCAACTGGATGGTAGTAGCTAACTAGTGTTCTGAGATGGATAGGTTCACTGCTACATTTGCGGATCCTGTGAGGGACAGAGATAAGGTCATCAACGTGATCCACACTGTGCCTGGTTGGGGACACTGCAAGATATGGCTGCCAACCGATGTCAGTGACGTTCTTGTTGTCAGTTTCTATCCAGATCGCCTGAGTGAGTGTTCGGAGGTATAGGCCCCTCGAAATGATTGTGGTAAGCTCTAAGTCCCCTCCCCGTCCACCTTTATTCTTTTCTTTACAATAGGGCTTTGAAATAAATCATGGTTGTACGGCAGTGAGGCGTCGGTGTTGAATGCTGATGTCAAACTGTCGATGATGATGATGATGATGATGATGATGATGATGATGATGATGATGATGATGATGATGATGATAAACACTCCAAACCAGAGCAAGAACTCCGTTTTTACCCTCGGCTTCCTACAAACTCATTTTTATCACACGGCAACCAGAGGAGAAATCCTGTTGACTTGAACACAATGGAACAGCAACAAAAAGACGATGGCCATCACACGCAATTCCGCTGTATCTCAGACGCTACGTGCTCTTCTGGTGACAAAGAACCTGATTCTGTTGCAGACCAACTCGGATTTTGTCTACAACTTCCCTTACACTTGCTAGGTCAAGTATATTAGTTTAGGAGTGATAACTCTGGAGATCTAATCACTCAGCCTCTTACAATATTTACAAACAGAATCAAGAGTCCTCGACTCCTAAATACTTGTTGAGCATTGATCGACCGAGTGATGCCTACACTCACCGTTACCCTTTTTGAGGCGAATGTTGGGAAATTCATTCCTTACTGCAATGTTTGTCACTTTTAGTTGTGATGAGAAGAATTACCTGAGTTATCTTTCTCCGGTCATGAAAGATTTCAGCAAGTGTTTGTTATAGAAGTAAGCACAACTTCCTAAAACACTGAGACAATTTGGCGGTGTTTCTGAAACATAAACGTGTTGGTTGGATGTAGGTGCCATGTATGTGATCCAGTGGAATATTTCACAAGTCAGTCGGAACCTATGAGTCGCAAGGAGTTGTGGACCAATGGGGTAGTTCATCATAGTCCTCGACAAATACTTGTTGAGCATTGATCGACCGAGTGATGCCTACACTCACCGTTACCCTTTTTGAGGCGAATGTTGGGAAATTCATTCCTTACTGCAATGTTTGTCACTTTTAGTTGTGATGAGAAGAATTACCTGAGTTATCTTTCTCCGGTCATGAAAGATTTCAGCAAGTGTTTGTTATAGAAGTAAGCACAACTTCCTAAAACACTGAGACAATTTGGCGGTGTTTCTGAAACATAAACGTGTTGGTTGGATGTAGGTGCCATGTATGTGATCCAGTGGAATATTTCACAAGTCAGTCGGAACCTATGAGTCGCAAGGAGTTGTGGACCAATGGGGTAGTTCATCATCATTGTCATCATCATCATCATCATCGTCATCATCATCGTCTTCACCATCATCCTCATCATCATCGTCAACCAACAGCAACATCACAACGGTACTATTGCCAGAAACACCAGGTGAAGAAGCTTGTGTTTCACTGCCTTAAGAACAATTCAGTGCGTTTTAATGAAAATTTATAATGGAAAGAAGAAAGAAATGGGGCTAGGAAGGGAACCTAGAAATTGCCTACAAACACCGTCCGAATTGCCTACACTTCCAGCACTCGTTTAGACAGTCCGATTAGAAATTGACAGCATGAAATTCAGTGACATCGGTTAGCCACCACCTTGTTCAGTGGGTGTTGTTGCGCAAATGTTCCTTGTGAATTCTCTTCGGAATTCATGAACTTTCCGATGGGAGGGTACATACTTCCCTTCCCAAGCAAATACGAATGATTGATGACTTTCCCCGCAACACTGGATTGCCTGAGTTCACTAGACTCAGGCAGTGGTGGGTATTCCAATGACGGTATCGTTTATATGATACAAGTAGCTCGCACTATTCACTTCTTAACTCTATTGGATTAAATAACCTGTAGAATTTCCTCAAAAGACCCAAAGTGAAGCTATATTCACTGCATGTTACCTTGCCTTTCCTGGAGAGTTGGGGCAACTGATTTCGACTTTTTCTGCGAAGACCCTTGAGGATCGCACTTCCGTGCTACCATTCTCCTAGTTCTCAAGCGTCAATTTTTGAGCATCTGATCGGCTAGTTCAAATTCCTTTTCGGCCCCTACTACTCTGCTAAGATCTGTATTTCAAATTCGGCAAATGATCATTGCCTTTCTGAAGCCACTCCAAAATAAGTGGGTATTCCAATGACGGTATCGTTTATATGATACAAGTAGCTCGCACTATTCACTTCTTAACTCTATTGGATTAAATAACCTGTAGAATTTCCTCAAAAGACCCAAAGTGAAGCTATATTCACTGCATGTTACCTTGCCTTTCCTGGAGAGTTGGGGCAACTGATTTCGACTTTTTCTGCGAAGACCCTTGAGGATCGCACTTCCGTGCTACCATTCTCCTAGTTCTCAAGCGTCAAGACAGAAGTGATGCTAACTGGATGAAATCGTTTTACTAAAAGCGATGCTTTGTTCCGTAGATTTATCAATTTTTCAGTCCTTCAGTTCTTCCTTATGAGCATCTGACCGGGTATTTCAAACTTCTTTTCGGCCCCTGCTGCTCTGCTAAGATCTGTACTTCAAATTCGGCAAACTTCCATTGCCTTTCTGAAGCCACTCCAAAATAAGGAAGAAAAAACAATCAAGAGAGTGCGACACCTAGAAGTTGAACAGCCATCACGTCAGACGTAGACGGAGGTTCATCCAATGAATTATATTTACTTCGATAACTTGTTTGGTAAAAAGTTGCCACTGTATGCTGAGGGTTCTTCAGCAGTTCTGTGACGATCGCCACCAGTCACGATTGACAGTGTTCAATCAAGAACTTAAAAAATCGAAAGATTCATCTGTTCTTGGGTTGTCCTGATTAAGAGAGGTCCTGCTGACAAAGTGACGACAGGCGATGCGTAGGAGCTGATAAGTAAAGTGAATTCAGACAAATGTTGTAGCTCCATGTTACCACTACAGATAAAATTGATTACAGCTTTCGTTGTAACCCCGTTCAATGAATGGCTGAAAAGGAATCAAGATAGCATCTCTTTTTAAAAAAGGGCCTTTCAGCGTCGATCGATCATCTGTATATTTGTGAATTTGAAATAACGGAATGCACAGTGTTATCCAGCCTAAATTGGGGAGGGTATATTATTGTACACATCGATTGGTGAACGGAGAATTGCACTGGACACCGGACGCCATTTCTTTAGTATTTGACGGTGGACCAGAACTGTACATTTGCTGTCCCTAGCCTTTACAAACGGATTTGGTTCTGTCACACAAAGCCCTTTGTTGTAACTTCTCGTCAACGGATGTGACAAGGATTGTTGAATCAGGCTCACATATATATGCATGGCCGGAAGCTGTTCTCGCCGCCAATTCAAACAGGCGTTTCAGGATGCACTATCCTACGCTGGACTTTCTCGCCTTGCAGACCCATGGCCCATCTGTTCCTGAAACTTTTCACGGTACAGGTACACCACAGAAACTGTGTTTGATTGTGTCGATCACGGTTTAAGAGTTCGCAGGAAAATAAAAGCCAGGTTGAAGGAATTTCCTGGATAGTCTCGAGAACAGTTCTTTTTCTTGTTAGCGCAAGCCACCAAGACTTCATTTCCTCCTTCAAAGTTTTCAAAAACTTGGTAGATTTTTGCCTCCATCGACTGATATTTATTGTTCATCTTCCAGGATACTGATGTGAGCAACCTCAAGGTCATACTATCCAATAATCTTAGTTGGTTGACTAATACTCACACTTTTTTAATGAAGTTTCTATGGTTTTCTGTGGTATACCAAGTCATTGTAAAGTAACTCCTCAATCGGTTCGAAGATTTTTAAAATTAAAAAGTTTCTGTGGTTTCGTGTTTGTGCTGCTGTCTGCTTTTTGAATTCGTTATGGCCGGATTTCTTTCCCGTTAGTTCTGTTTTTCTCCCCTCAAGTTTCTTGACATTTTTGCTGTAGAATCGGGCCTCATAATGGGGCCATTGAAACTCGTACACGCATGCAGTGGAATTAACACGACCGCATTTTTCAGCTTTCTATTTAGAATGGAATTTGAGGGGTGTGCGGACGTGACCAAAATGATGCTTCCGGTATTATCATAAAGGCTATCCTTGTAGTAACATTTAAGTCCGATTTATGCACACGAACTTAATGCAAATGTTTACTCAAGAGATCTAAATCCCAAGAGATCTAGATCATTCAGTTCACTTCTTTTTGGCCACATTTTCGCTACATTATTCCCTACCGTTTTCCCCCAACTTGGTACAAACCAAGTTCTAGTGAAACCGGCCCACTCTGTTGAATGAATTTGGTCAATTCCTTCCGTTTAACTGGTTCGTGATCCTCCGTCAGCTCACGTTTGCAGCAATTTATCGAGTGATCTTTACTTGATCTACAATGACGCCTAACTGACGACTGAACGATGTCATTTAGTACTGATCGGATCAATGATGGCCTTTGCATATTTTACAGGCCATACGGAATAATTTGTGGTCTGAATGAATCCGACGAAATATCCTGGAACATACATATGGTGCCACCGAGGCCTTTGCTTCANCTGGAACATACATATGGTGCCACCGAGGCTTTTGCTCCAGAACTGGAAAGTCCTCTCAGCTCTGAATGACTATCCGACTGACGTGTTGAAGATTCGACGTCACTTGGATGACATCGAAAGCGTCAGTGGAGATTACTTACTCTGGTTAATGAGTAGCGGTCTACACTGAATCTCCTCACTACCTACAACCTTGAAATGATTTGCTCAGAGTAGCAAAGGGTGCTACAGATTGGATGGGCAGCCCCTCAGGAATTCTCCGCCAGAGAAAGCAAACCTAGGACACGTGATATGTAAGACACAGCACTAAGTCTCGCCGGCTTCCGAAACATGCACACTGCGCATCAGTTCAAACACGGGCAGTAATTCGGCTCTAGAAGTTCGTGGCAAACGCACTATTTATCATTGGTTTGCTCGATAATCTGGACAGTTTGGTAACAAATAAATTGCCAAGCGAACAAACGAACGACTGCCCTAACAAGATGAACAAGAGACATTCTTAGCGAAATACGCTCATCTGCAAACTAATTTGGTTTTGTGAGAGACTCTCCTGGAACCCAGCTGAATCTCCACCTCCTCACGCTTCTTTGTGAGTCACACTTTTTGGTCAAAGACTCAAGGTGGGGAACCTCAACCAACCCCATTCTTCGACCTGGGCATCCGAGAAGCGTTATGAATGGGAGATTCAGTTAGGTTCCGGGTGAGTCTCTCGCAAAACCAAATTAGTTTGCAACTTAGTGTATTTCGCTAATTTTGTGCACTTTGGTTTCAAGCAGAACGTAAAGTTGACGGAAACTCGGGGACTGCGCCTACCTGATGAATCCCAAGAAGGGCAAAACCGGTTGTGGGCTGTCGACGAATTTTTATCAGCCTTATGAAGAGACATTCTCTTCAATAGCAAATGCTCACTAATTTTGCGTCTCAACAAAGAAAAAGCTGCCTTGTAACGCTTCTCGACTTTTAAGTAGACATCAGCTTCACTTACAACGTGAGAAATAGATCGAGGAATGCCTCACATTCAAAATAGAGCAGGATGACACAAGATGGATCCAAGTTTGTTGACTTTCGAATATTTTCGCTCACTTGCTATTTATTATCGCTTTCCCGTGTAACTGTCCTCCTTTGAGGTTATATCTAGGTGGGCAAAACCGGTTGTGAGCTATTTATTATCGCTTTCCCATGTAACTGTCCTCCTTTGAGGTTAATATCTAGGTCCGGCAAAATATTACTTGTTCGTATTAACGACATAACCAAGTGACGAGCGTCCGGCTGGGCCATGACAACTTTCCGTTTCAGCGCATATAGTTGAAGTGAAATATTTCATCAAACTCCCAGAAAAACTAAGGTTTAGGTACTTAGTGACATCAGACTGTGAACACGTTTAGCGTAAGTGCTGCAGGTCAACTTTTATGAAAACCACTTTTAATGCATTGTAGCCCAAAAAACTGACAAGAAGCTAATTGCTTAGTGAGCGAAATTCAGACGCTTGACTGAACTAATCAATACGGGGTATTGATTAGTGACGGACCAAATAGCCTGGACGATTGACACACCTACGCTTATCACTGTCAGGAAATATATGAGGCGTGAAAAATTTTGACAGTCAAACCAGGAAGTTACTGTTCTCAAAAGGAAAAACAACACGCAAAAAAGAGACATTCTAGCGATCCCCCCTCCAGAAAATGGTTCCCGGTGTAGCACTATCTACATTGTTTTCTGCTTGTCAGGTTGTCATTTTTCAATGCATAAATGACTTGTTTTGATAGCTATACAGTTAAGTGAACTCAAAAACGGGAATTCAGACTGTCGCGCAGGAGTGGCTAAGTCGACCAAATGGTAACTTATTTCACCAGAAAACTTGGGGACGTTCTAGCGTAACGGAGCCACTTGTGTGGAAATTCCTACCAACTCTCTTTATACCTTTGTAGCACCATAGGCGTTTCAGTAAAGCTAAGAAAAAAATTCTGAAGACTGGGTAACTTTCCAGCACCGATGTGTGGGCCAAACGGAAGTGATTGGGTACACACAGTCGGGGTTCGTCACACACACCACGCGGTACTACTGTGGATGGAATGCTGCCAGGTTCATCAGTACAGCTTTATGGTACAGCGTTAAATAATATTATGAACTCGCCCTCTGAATGCGATTCCGATCGGTTTTCGAACTTCATTTAAGCCCAAGGGTAACATTGACGTGATTATGGCAATAACAGTTTCTTTCTCATCGTTTTTCCCTCTACAGAAACCCAATATTTCAGATGTTTGACTCTGGATTCGGTCAGACAGATCTGATATTCTCCGACGACACGGAAAGTCTGAGTCTGATTCCATGGGAGAACCAAACCTACACGCGGTGGTTGGGGCAGCGCTTTCTACAGCTGGTCGAAAACTTGGAAGTTACTGCTAATTTGTATGAAGCTGGTCTGTACAGTGCCAAAGGCAGACTGCAACTAAGTCGATTGACCATCCTTACAGCTACTATTTTTGGAATTTTGACTTTTGTAGGATGAGGGTATTTTGAGCTCTGTTCACCAGAATAAGCTCAAAGGGTACCGAAAACAAAGCATCGTGACTTTTTGAACACATTATCAAGTGAATTGTATAAAATATTCCAAGTACATACATATCATTACAACTAATGCACTGTATAGTTCTGCTGGACGTCTTCGCTCTGTTCACCTGACGTTCACGTGCTCTGGTCTCGTAGATGCACTCTTACTATCCTGACTTTCAACTCTGAACATATTGCTGAGAGCTAGAAAGTCACGTGATGTGGGCTGTGGCAACCAATCAAATGTGTTCTGTCATTTCAACCAGCTGTTTTGGGGATGAAACGAAATGAAAGAAAAATTTTTTGGAGATTTTGACTTCTGTGGCGTTTCGGAACTCCAGAACAGATTAATCAACTTTTTGATCTGTCGCACCGAACTTACAAAATTTGTTCCCAGGTGTTTGGCAATGATTGCTTTAAAAAACGTTTACCTAGTTTTCGTCATTCTGACTTAGTGAGTCGGCACTTAAAAAGCTAAGAACTGGATTCAGGTTGTGCACATAGGTTGACATTTTCACCTTGCTGGTGAAACGGACGAACCGGTTAACAGTGAGTATTTCCAGCAATTTTGCGCATTGTACTGTTGCGATAACTTGGGTAATAAAGTCTGCGACTCATCGCCAGTTGAGAAGAAGGGTTAGGGATAATTGTCTGAGAAGAGGTGAATTGACTACATAAGTTAGTGACCAATCGGACAGACGACGCTAAAATGGGCATCAGCTCCATGGCTGCCTGATCCAGCTCGAACTTCGAGTGAGGCTTTTAGGAAGTTGGAAGGAGTGCAAATTAAAATTATATGTGTAATGGGAAAGTCAGTTTCAAAATAATAACGCTATGATTATTTTTTTGACAGATTACAAGTACCTAGCAAAAGGGCATAAGGTATTCTTCGATTGTGGTACATTACACGGGCAGCAGTTATACCGCGGGTTTAATAGGGGCATGTCAGTGTTGGTTCCTGGATAAGAGCACGTTGGAACAGTGCTTAAGCAGAACGAAAAAGCCATCATTTCTATTTATGTCAACAAAGGGATCTAATGGCATGTTGAACTTCTAGAACTAGGAACATGTACTGGAACTTAAGAGGTCTTTATCTGAGAATCTTCTTCGTGGAGGAAGGTATCCGTCTTTTTTCTATGCAAACGATGAAAAACAGGAAAACACTTGTTATAAGATTTTGGCTGTAATTGGTGGCAGAAGCTTTTTGGGATGAGGGGAAGTGCAGACGCACACCACTTGACTGCCAACAAGGAATCGAACGTCTTGAAGCAAAATGAACCAATAGACCATCGCACAAAAGCCTATGAGACAATGGACTGACGTGTGTCAACCCGCTGTTTTCACAATGTATTGTCCTGCAACAAGATTCATTGTCTTCGAGAAATACACTCATTTGCAAACCAATTTGGTTTTCACGAGAGGCTCAACTGAATTTTCTCGTTTATGGTATTCTACAACTCAATGTGCTGCACACAGGCCCACTCCTGTTTCAGTTGACACGATATTCGAGATATCGCAGTTTAGTTTCACGTGAGTAGTCTCCTTCAGGAAACGATTCATTGTGTTCAATCAATTGGAAAAAGTTTGGAACCGATTGAAGAATCATCGTTATAGCGTTGTCCAAGTAAAATGCTACCGGTTTTTCACCAAGCCCTTCCGAAAAGATTCATTGTGGTCCATCATGGTCAGCTCGCTGTTTGGTGAGTGGTGTCCAAAAGTGTCACCACTGATCGAGGGGACATCGTCAGATCATACGCAGGCGAGAAGTGAACAGACAACCCCAGTTACCAGCTCTTCGACCGCCTTTCCTTTACCTCAGAGCATTTTGTGACGTTCTTCAGAGTATCAGGAATTCGACTTCATCAGTAACTTTTGGAAACCGCCCTTATTGAGGCTCATCGAGTAGACTAAGTCCATACATTTTTACCACGCTTATTTTGCAACTGGAAACAAAAGTAAAAATATGCTGCAACAACCCCTCAGTTGCAAATTAGGTGGTTAACAGATTAAACGCAAAATTTTGTGTCCAGGTAAAAGACGAGATTGGTAGAGAACTGAGGATTGGATGAGAACCACGAAGAGCGAAACCTGTAGTGGGCTTTTCGCGTTTCTTCGCTTGTTCGCTTCATATTTTTAGGGCAATCACTCCATCTCACTGGTATCGTCCATAGGAACTCAAATTTGCCATGGAAATGATGTCAAAATCAGACTTCCTTATCAAAAAATCATATTTTTAAGTCACGTAATATAGTCAAAAATGGTGGAATTGAAATATTGTGTACGGAAGCGCAGACACATGATTGCTTAGAAGCCAGAGTTCAGGGTTCAGTAAAGGCGTATGAATTTAGTGCATTGAGGGCTATTAAAGCCAATTCATCCTTCATGAGTTTGTCAGATCCTTTTTGAAATCTCCGTCCAATGTGAGCTCAAGTAGAACATGAAGTTGACAGAGTCTCGGGGACTACACCTACCTGATGAGCGCCAAGAAGGACGAAACCGGTGGTGGGCTGTCGAAGTGTTTTCAGCAAACTTATAAGTAGTGTGCTACGTCTAGATAGTTTCATATCAAGCAACTAACCAAGTCATGAATTAAAGCAACGCACACGATGCATTAACTTGTCTATTAAATTCCGATCCCCCGGCTCAGAAACTTCTAATTTTGCACACCGAAATTTGAAAAATACACCTGGGTACTATAATTAGTAGTTGTTCTCAGGTCAACCAGAAGTCAAACTAACGTTCGTCCTACTTAGGAGCAGGCTGTTCATTCCGCGTAACCGTTCACTGCCAGGAGTTATGGTGTATTTTTTAACAGTCGTTTAAAAAGCTTTGCTATAACGGTTCGTTCTTGTTGCTGCGCCCTACTCCAGAGAAATGACTTGTAGCTGCACAACACGTACGACCTCTTTGAGCAATGCTCGGGTACTGCAAGGACAGGAGGTAAACTGTACAAAAATTCAGGGAGTGCGTTAGTGAGAAGAGTTTGTTAATTATTGCATTGTCCTTCCAAAGAACCTGGCATGCCTCCGTGAATCTAGGCACCATCTTATAGAGGGAAACTGGGAGTAGTAAGTGCGGGAAAGACCGGGTTTCCAACGTAGCTATTAGCCTGAAGAACAGATATCCGGACTCCGAAGATTTCGGACGCCAGTGTACAAGAAAGCTGAAAGAAATGTGGACACTGCATCACGTTCTGACTGGCATCTCCTCGAAAATCAACCGAAATCATCGATCAGTACATTGGTCTACGGAGTTCGTCGCTGGTCAACCATTTTTTCACATCTAACAGCCAATCTCTGCACCCGGTCAGTGTTTATCGGGGACGTTTCTGAAACCAACTACCATTGACTCAGGATACAATACTGACTAAATCACCGATCCACACTGTACTACACAGTAGATCGTGCTGGACAAAGGATGTGGCCAACGCACGGACCATTAAGTTTGAAAGGAATGATCGAATGAGGTAAACTCCCAACTTCCTTACTAAACCTCTTAGTTTCATTTTCCATGACTTGTTTGCTGTACTTCGTTTATTACAAGCGCTTGAGCTGAGGCCACACGGTGTATGTTGGTCTGCCCACTCACTTAAAGAAACATTACTTCAAAGTTGTTTTGAACTGATTTGTGGCACGAATCCTACACTGTGTGTATGGAAACAAAGCTGAGCATCACGCTTGACTGCCTAAGCAATAGGCCAAAATTTAAATCAGTTTTGATTTTAAATCTGGGGGACGTCATTGGTTTCCGATGAAAGATATCGACTGATTATTATTTCGATCCAATTGATATTGTTCCACTCTTGCTTATTCTCATTAACATGAGGATGTTGGCGTCGTGTGCACGGTTAGGACGTGAGTTGCACTGTCACACGCTATTCTATCCGTTTGCTGTGTAACGCTAAATTTATACACGGGTGAAACTGCAACGCGATGGGAAAGTAACCAGCTGCACTCTGAATGTGTGCAGCGATCGGTTGCTTTGCACTGAGGCATCTCTTGTCTCGGGTTTGCACTTGTGGACAATAGAGGAGACTCACCTAATCGTAAGGGCCCAAGGCCACTGGTGGAAACTTTTGAGAAAGTTGCAACCATTCTTGTTCGATTTTGAGTGTTTAAATTCCAAAGGAAATTTATTGGTGCCGTCAGAGTTGTACGACGGGACAGCAAAACAAGCAACCGAGAGGCTCCAGAAACTGTGGTTTTTACACATACAGCTGTGGCCTGGAACAAAGAACGATTGTACGGTCTGACATGTCACCTTCCAGTTGTTTGTTGAGTAAAATTCAATCTTGCTTCACTATCACACTGTTCTTCGGTCGACTTTCTGTACGTAAGTCCCGTCTTCATAATCAAGTTCCTGTTGGTTTTCCTATCCGACGCTGAGTTTAGTGCAAGTCTGCTACATCAATCCCACCCAAGTTTCACTTTACTGTAGAGTTCCTCTAACAAATACTTGACAGTTTATGGGGTCGCTGAGAGAAAAGTCAAGACATGTGCCACAGATCCACGCAACCGTGGGCTGTTTGGACATTCCCACCAAAACTGCCTCGTCCAGAAAATCCGAGTTCGCCATGCTGTTTTCAGGTCATCCAATCACAGTCATGATGGCGCACGGGCCTGCAGGTAACACAAATACCGTTGCATGGCGAGCCATCGATGCTGTTCCCATTAGGGAGTATGGATGTGTGACGGATAAGAACTCCGTCTTCCTGTCACACTGGAATGTTGGTGCAACGCCGCAGCTGGGTCAGCTAACCCAAAGTGCACGGTGTATCGACCCATCTCTGGCATGTGTCACAGACAGGCCACCTGAGCTGGACTAAACAATACGCCGACTAAGCAACGAGTGCAGACGTAGCCATACCTGACAAGACCGAACTCGCCAGCTGATTGGTCGGTAGCTTTCGATGGGCTGCACGAACAGCCGGAGGCGCAGCTGGTGCACAGCCAGCTGCGGCCTTGACAACAGAGGAAAATCTCCCTTCAAATCACAAACGCTTCCGGAACCATGAGTCAAACAACCAGGTCGATTGCTGTTGGGATTGAACGTCAGTTGTACCCGAATTTCCACTTCGCTCTCCTCCCTGGAGAAGACTGAGTTGATTTTGATGATAGGATTTGCCAACACACACGAACAGCAACCGCCAGGAGAGCACGGATATGCAGATGGTAACTTCTTTGTAAATGAAAGATCGATGGGCAACCGAAAATAAGCTAGTTTCATATGCTCGGGATACTAGTCGGTCTGATTCGAAGCGCGGTATATCCCCGCCTGTTTCCTTCGTAAGTTTAGCCAAGGACACGCGAAGCGCAACTACGGGAGTGGGTACAACCCAAACGCGAGTTCACCATCGACCTATCCTAATCTCATGAGTAGACAGTTGTGGAGTAAAGAATGTTGGTCGTTAACCGTATCTCTATTTTTAATCAATGTTTAGTCCTATCCACAGAGGTTAGTTTGGTCGTGAAAGGTAAACATACTGGAAAGGTTCGTATGAAGGCTGATCATCTCAAAGGTTCTCCATGTCAACTGAAAATAAGCCTGGATACCACAACCTATCCCGGCGTGTTTCGTCGCGACCTCATTATACATATAAGTAATAAATTGGTAAGATGCAAGACAGTCACATTGTGAATAAAATTCAGCGATCAGAGATGAACCAGCTGTTGATTAAAGTCCAAATGGGACATAAGAGTCCTGTAATCCTTTCACTCCACTGGACGAACACGGCAACGCTGACGCCAATACTATTCGCTTTTGCATATAAAATTGTTATATCTGCTGATTCGTCAATCTGTGGTATCTGCTACTGACCTGCTCCAGTGCCCAGTTGCCGGAAAAAAGACTCACAGGAGGAAACACAACAGCTATATTCCGAACGA